GCTTTTGTTTTGTTGTCAAATTTCTTGATCAACAAAATAAATGACTGCTTTATAATACCATTTCTCAGTTATGCAGCTTAAAAGAAGCCTAACCGATTAATTACTCATTTTTAAGACCATTACATTGATCATCAGATTAGCAGTTAACTCATCATTTTACTGATAAGCAAATAAGTTAAAGCTAAAAAAAATGACAGTAATTGAATGCTTCTTATATCTTTTCTGCAAATGTTCATACTTTATTGGGGCTATTAATTAAACAGTTAAATAAGCAAAGTTATTATATTAAAAAATAAAAAAGTAGACAACCTTTTGTCTTTTGTCTTCTTTCTTTTTTTTTTAATTCAACTAAATCAGACAAGAAGAGAATAAAACTTTTTGAGTGAATAAATTCAATGTGAATACTTCAATGCAACGTTAAAAAGTTTTATTCATCAACAATTATCAGCGGTTGCTGTTGCTTAATCACTGAACAGCAGTTGTATCCACGACAAATGATCAATGATATATCCAGATTTTCTACAGCTTTTTGTTCCTGTAAATAACTACTAAAAAAAGTGACGACAAAAAACCAACAAAAGAGGGAAAAAAATTTACATGTTTTGATAAAATCTTGATTTAAAATTTACAAAAAGAAAATAAAACAAATACCTTCTCAGATTTCCAAGACAATTTTCTACAATTTCCAGAATGGAATGAAACGCAGTTAACAATTGTCTGCCTAAACTCATTTTTTTTTAACCAAAAAGTTGAATATTACTGAAATTTGTTTCTTGCTTTCCTACAGCATCAATCAGACACTCTACAGACTGTCCGGGAGACTAACGATTGATCTGTGGTCGTTGAGGGCCCCAAAAATAACCTGGAAAACATATTTGACAATCTTTGCTCATTAACACTTTCAAAAATCGTCTTTATTTCTTTTCATGTTTTTCAGAATCGTTACTGTTTTATAGACTTAGACTTAGGCTTAGACTTTTGCTTCCCACAAAAAAAAAGAAATTATTTGATTGACAAACTAAAGATTTAGATCTTCAACAGTGATATTTGTCGACAATTAAAGTGAAAGAAAAAGAAAGTTTTTTTTTTTTTTTACTAAAGCTCAAAAAACCATTCTGATGAAAGAAAATCAACAACATTTTTTTTTGTCATCATATTGACTGTCAACAAAACGTATATTTTGACGGAAGAAACATTTATTTTCCTAAAGCTTTACGGGTTTAATATGAAAATCGTCATATGAAAAATGATTTAATTTAATGCAGGAGAAAAAAAAGCATGTTTTTAAAAATTGATACATCATTTACAATATGACCACCCTTAAAGTTTTCCAGCAATCAGGTTCATTTTACCATCGACCTGTAACTTATCAACTGAAAAAGAAGAAGAAGAAACCCACCAATTCTAGTTTTTAAAACAATATGTAATTAATATATATTAATACTAAAAAATAGTCTCAAAATCTATACAAAAACAAAAAATATTAATTTTTTTTTTCAAGAAAGGAAGAAAAGCTAAAAAACGACAATTTTAATTCCACAAAAAAAAATTTTTATATTTTTAATCAATTAAAAAAATTTTTTACTAACCAAATTTTGCAGCACAAACATTTAGAAAAGCCGAAAAAGGAAGAATTTAGGTGGAAAAAAAAAACATTAGTTTGGATGTCTGTCGTGCTATAGAATACGTTAAGAAATTGTCAAAAAAAAAGAATAACGATGGCTATAAAAAACATTAGACTCATAAAAGTAAGTTACTCGGGTAATTTTTAGAAATGTTAATTCAAGTAATTGTGCAATTACAGTTTTACCCTACCAAATGTTATATTTAGCGATATAAGTAAAAAAAAAAAAAAAAAAGGAGAAAAAATGACTATAAATATCAGTTAATTGTCTTAAAACTAGTAAACAACGTTAAATATGATAATTTTGAAGTAAAAAAAGGGAGAGGGAGTTCCGGGGGAACTGTTATTTTACTGTGTCAGAATCATTTATAAACTGCGCAGCATCGTAGGCCTTAATCAATTTACTCGTCAGAATATTTACTTGATACAGTCTGTGTTCGGCTACAATTTCTTCTCTTCGGCAGTCATAACGTCTGTAAAAATGTGGAAAAATATAATTTGTACAACTGCAAAAAATTAAAATATTTTATTAGTTGATTGAGAATCTAAAATCATATATTTTAACATTACAGACCTGTAAAATGTCAGTGTCTAGGAAAAATTTTGCACTAAAATAAACAGATTAAGAGGTGCTAAGGCAAGGAAAAAAATGTTTTTCAAAAAAATTGTAAATTACTTGGCAAAAAGCAAAGAAAATCTGCAAAACTTGTGTTCTGAATAGATATCAAAAACAAACAGACCAATTCAAATTTACCTCCCCAAAAAAGAATCCAAAAAGTTGTGCTTCCAACAACCGGTAATACAGCAGTTGTATAACAAAAACAGAGTAAAGAAGTATTTTTTTCTTACTAAAGTATTATTTTGATGCAATTATCTTTGAAAAGTTCAGAAAAAATTGCAGTTTTAAAATTTTTTACTGGCTAAGATCTAAGTGATAAACAGTTATTAAAAAATTCCACAAAATCTTTTTGGTAAACAGCACTGTTGACAATAGGCATTCCAGCTAAAAAGTAAATGATTTCCCATAATTTTTGAGTCTATTGATATTTGTCACCTTTTTTTTTTTGAAGCCAAAAAACGTTGTCATCATGGGATTTCCATTTCTTATAAAACAAAGAAAGCTCAATGTAAAAGATGTTTGTTTTAAAAGAAAAAACTGTTATTTTTTTTTGTTGTTTTTAAAAAACTTTCAATTTTGCACAAATTTCATTCTTTTTATCACGCAAAATCATATAAATTGTTCAGTGCAAAAATCTTAAGAATCTCTGCCCTTTACATAAGCCTTAAAAAACTACTAAATATTCAAAATTTTTGAAAATATTGAAAGCTTTTAAGTGTTAAATTTTATGAGATGCAAATTCGTCAAAACAATTCATACTATAAACTGTAAACTACTTACAAAAAATTTAGTTTTCGCAGAAATACGCTATAACTTCAGAAGCGTGATGTTCACTTTTACACCGATTATAGCTCTGAGTAATCCTAAGCATTAAAAGAAGAAATCTCTGACACCATTGATCTTGTGTTCAGATTCCAAAAATCTCAATGTATTACTCTTACCAAAGTTCAAAAACAGTTTCACTTTCAATAGCCACAATTCACGCAACCTTTTAAACAAAAGCTGCTGTAGGTTTCTTGGTTACTTCAAACTGTTAAAATTGAAGACAAGAGCCACAGTATTACCTGCATATAGATAGTGTACTAACTAAAACTCGTAAAACCATTCACTTATGAGCCACAACATAATCTTTGCTTTTTTCTTTTCCTTCATTCAATTCACCAAATTTCAACAGCCGACGATAAAAATTCCCAAAATTCTCGCCTGCAACCACGACAACTGTCGTGAGGTTCCCAAGAAAATCAAATGAGTGTTTCAAGTAAACAACGTTTCTTCAATCCCAAAACAGACTGCTCTTAAAAATGTTTCAGAGACACAATCTCTGCAATAAACTTCGAGAAGGTGAATCTACTAATAAAATTTTAAATTCAGAAAAGTGGCTCTTGCCAATGGTTTCAATGATAGAGCAAAATCGATACTGATATAACTGCTAAAACTGTTAGGGACGCCTGTAATAAACACTGATCACCAGTGTTGACTGATACTAGCAGTGTTCATAGATGTAAGCAAGCCAAATCTTTTGACATAACCATGAATCAACCATGCTTTCTTCTTGCTCGTGTTTCAGCATTTATACCGTAGGGTAAAGGTTTGCATAATTGTTGGCTAAACGTTAGCCCATAACGCTGACAACCAGTTGCCTATAGCTCAAAAAAAAGCGCTTAAGCCATTATGACACTTCTGGTTTCCAAAGAAACTCATTTCACGTCACCAAGAATTCGCAGAAGGAAATGAAACCAATGTCAATGAATGACCGTTCTAAGCAAATGGAATTTTCAAAATATCACTGTTTTAATTCATGTTTGGTGGACAACACGGCGCCAAACAATGATCATACATCTGAGCGTCGACGTTTCTTTTGCGCAAACTTCTTTGCAAATGCCAAAAACACAGCAAACATTGGGTAAACAAACTTATACCAGCATGATTGTCAAAAATGTGTCGAACACCAAGCACCTTTTCCATGTCAAGAAATTGGCACACAACGATGCATCTGAGCCGTCAGCGAAGTTGACAATGCCCCCGAAAACGGCAAGAAAGTGGAAGGGAGCGAGCGTAATTGGCATTGTGCCATCTTCAAGGCACAAGTTGGTCTTTTGAAAAATTCAGTTTCACTTTTTGCTCTTCTGAGTTCCTTCTCTCTCTGCTTATTCAACTCCGGATGCTTTACTTCTGCACCCTTAAGTTAATGTTTATGGTTGCGGTTCTGTTGGTCTCAATGTTG